GGGGGAGAGGTAGTCATGAAGGATATCGAAGGGGGGAGTACTACAGTGATTCATTGCAAAGGGGGAGCAAGTGTAAGCGCAGGGGCTTATGTTGGAGAAGGATTTGCACAATTACGTCGGCGCTAACTGCTATTACGTCACGGTCACCATTTTGAAAGCAAAATTTGTTTTTAACATTTATCTGTATGTCCTTTCAGCCGTTTTTCTGAATACAGGATCCGGACCGCAAGAAATTTAATGAACATCCAAATATTGCTTTACAGATGATTGGGTTCTCAGAACACATAAAACAGAAGAAAGAGCCTCACCTAGGAGAGACAGAATGAAAACGACAATATAAATATGAATAGGCTCATCTCATTAGCACCAACCTCTGAATGCACGACCCCATGCTTTCTGCAATGCTTGGAGTGAAGAAATGTTTGTTATATATGCATTTAGTCTTCCCACGTTATTTATCCCGAAGTTGGCTGCTCTTGCTCCCCACCGTAATCTAAATCACACACACACACAAGTAACATTCACGAAAGCAATAAGTATTAATTGCAACTTACTTACAAGTGTTTACTTGGTGCCTGATTCAATGAACTGATCACAAATCTAAGACTGGCAATGAAACAAGAACGCAAAACCGCAAGTGAAACACCAGAAAATACAGTTTTGCATAAACAGCTTGAAAACCGCGCTCTCGCAACACGCCATCTGTCACGGGAGGTGAGTACGAAAATGACCAACCTAACGACGCGAAAATTGAAATTATTGGTATCTATCTATCAATAATACAGGCGAAGAGACCACTTGGGAGATCCAGTGTAACTGTTAGGATGATATTAAAATTGGTCACAGAGAAACAGTACCTGAGTATATAGAGAGGATTTTTTGACTCGTCTTTTTCACTTCAACCAAACTGATACAAAATAAATAGTTTTCAGACAAATGACAATTTTCATGAAGTCTGCAGACTTCCTTTGTGAAACATATCCATGATCCCCACTTCCTCCCAATCCAGGCCAAACAAGGAGCAATTTAATTGAGAAATTACGGTCATAGAATTGCAACATACTTCCGTCACGTTGGCAACATGTCGAGAGAAACCTTGGCAATCGGTAAAAACAATGTCGGAGGTTGGAGTTATGTACAAGTAGCAGTAATAGTCAGTATTTTCTATATAGCAGTCTTGTCTGTTTTTATAATGCTAAGGAATCGCTTCATTACGCTGTAAACTATGTCTGGCAATCAGGACACACAGAAATCGGATAATCCCGACGTATCGGAAACTGGAAGTGATGCTGGGGAACCTCCCAACGAAAGCCAACAGGCGGATTCTACAGTAGCTGAAGGAACAAAATCTGACAAGCAAAAGAGTAAATTGCTATCATATATTTTTATCCATTATTCTATATCCGGCATTGTTCCACTGTGTAGTCTACATAATTTCAATTTGTGAGGCATAGTTATATCACATAATCTAACCTTGTTTTCAGCCTTTATTGTGTAGTAGTACCAGTTCTACTTAGCGTGAAACATATACCCATTGTAGGTAGACTTATGTAAAGGCATTCAAATGTCTATGTAGATAGGTGCCATGGTACAGACACCTCCATAACAGTTGACAATTGATTGAAGTTTATTTTGGCATGTTAGTGTTTGCATCACAAGTGGCAGTTAGTAGCCTTTCTCAAATATTGGTATGTATTCTCACCCGAAGTACTCTTTAAATGGGGTAGAAATATTGGATCTGCAGAGGACCTTTACATTTAGTTTCATATGCAAGCCATAACTTTCTTAATCCCATTACTAACTAGTGTAAGAAGAGACTAAATTTTCTTACTGGCCTTACAAGAACCTGTGTAATTTCCATATTTCAACTAACCTGTCACTGAATTGACGTTTTAATTCCAAAGTCATCATTGTTAAATAGTTTAAGACTGATTCTTTGTATCTATTAGACCGTCTTCTAGTTTCTGCCTGGATATTGGCTGTACTGAGATCTTTCACAGTCTTTCCAAGCAAATGATAGGATAATTCATTAAAATAGGCCATGACCACATTCTTCCATATCCTAATTCACAGTTATCACTGCATTGCAACATTACCGATAAAGTCTAAAGTAAGTATGAACAAAGAATCATTCAGTTACTTAGCCTCACATGAACCATTTATTTAAACCTTATAACCTGTCACCACTTTGCATATCTTCATCTTAAAAGAAATGTCTACTGTTGCCTATACTGTCATCACATTGTCAGGCCTGTTTGTCATGTTTTTGTCAAAATACTGCATCAGGTAATCCACAACTCCTGCTTAAATCCAGTGTACATTTAAGCATGTAATTTTGTTTATAAATGGCATAACTACATCAGAATATCATGAAAATAAGACTTAAGGCCACTTTATCCTTGATCATCTTCCCTGTATGGCATTTTCAACGGAAGCTCTCCTCATATTTTGATAATTACTTATAATGTTCCACAGAATGGGCTATCATGGATTTTTTTTTTCAGTTGACATACTCCTGAAAGCAACTGGAAATGCTCCAATCATGAAAAAGAAGAAGTGGGCTGTAGATCCAGAAAGGAAGATTGGGTGGATAACAGAGTTCATGAAAAAGTACCTCAAGCTGGATCGCTCAGAATATTTGGTATGATTTGGAATAGGAATTGAAATATTGGAACTTAAAAATGTATATTAAGTTTACATTTTTATTTTTGGTTTTAACACTGATGGTGAAGATTACATCAGAGTGCATATATCTGATCCTAGAAAGAATTGGGCATTTGAATTTTGAAAAAAAAATACCTTATTTCTCCTTCTTTTGTGCTAGTGAAGTGAGTCAGCAGGATGACCATTGCGATTTATACAACCAGATGCAGATGAACTCTAAAATTGAGATATTTTTGTGTTTTTGTACAAAATACACAAAATGAATGCATGAAGAGAGAAAGCTTATCCTTACATAACTTTCCATGTTTCATCTTTGAAACTTTTGAATGGATTTTGATTAAATTCAGCACAGACGGAGGCTACGCGGAAACCTGTCAGTGAATATTTCCACTACTTTACACAAGGCTTAAATCTTTTGATTCAAAAATGGCTTGTTAAACAAAACATTCATACAAGATGTAAAATACAAACCTTATTACAATCTACAAATTAGTCTCAGTTGTTTGGGGGACGGGGCATTTGGTGGATATTTAACAAAACACAAAGAACAGTAGTCCGTGCTTACCGTTACAACAGCAGATTTGCATTCTTGTTGCAGTTTCTGTACGTGAATCAGTCGTTTGCTCCGGCACCAGACCATATTGTGAAGAACCTGTATGACTGCTATGGAACGGATGGCAAACTCGTCCTTCACTACTGCAAGAGCCAAGCGTGGGGCTGAAACTGCATGCACACACACACGTAATGCTTGCTTCCTGAGTTTAGTGTTAAGTGAAACTGTATCCATTTTTTTAACTCTGCTTTTTATGTTGTAATTTCTGAATTGAAATGAGACAAACATTTGTTTGAACATATTTGTATATTATGGAAGGTAAACATATTATGATGTATATTTGATTGTATTGTAATATTAATTTATTTACGCTACATTTAATATTTTAAGTGATGATATATGAGAAATGGCTAAAATCTGGCGTCATTAAAACATTTAACTCCCTCCAGATATTTATATAAGAATATAATTGTTTGAATATAAAGAAATATCTTAATAAAAATATATCTGTCTGAGATCCTGAAATATATATGCTTTCATGATTAGAGTTTTCCACTTGAGGTGCCCTGACTGTTGTTTGGCGTGCCATTACTTTTTGTTGTGCCACCACTCTTCGGTGTGCCATTACTTTTTGTTGTGCCACCCCTCTTTGGCATGCCATTACGTTTTAGCATTCCACCAATGTCTGGTGTGCCAACACTCTTTGCTGTACCATTGCAAATGCATTGCTCCAGTCGTGTCTCATGAATGCCACCATCTTTACTGCCTTGTGCACTTCTTGCACTGGCAGCATGTTCTTCCACTTCCCTCTCTGCTGCCAGTTTCCCCTGCTGCTCTGCTTGCTCACTGCATGTGCTGCGGGTGCTTCTGGAGGAGCATCTTGCAGACTGCCACGACTCTTGCAAAGGTAGTGTAATGTATGGACTTTTCCATAGGAATATTCCTCCATCAGAGGTGACACTGACAATATAACGATTATCAGGTGAAAATCGTGCGGCAGTGACGGCACCAGCGTGGTCGGCACCTACATGAGTTGGGTTACCTTTATGGTAATTCCAAACCTAATGAAGGAAAGTAAGTAGGATTTGAGGTTCTCATGGCAGTGAGACGGAAGATGGCTGTCTTCTGGGTTGTAGCACTGTGTAGTCTGGAAGCAGTTTACCAACATTTCAGAGGTCCTTGATGCCTACACCACTCATCACTCTGATGGTGGAGGCAACATGGACCTCTGAAATGTTGGTAAACTTCTATGAGTCTACATTATGATTCAACCCACAAGGCAGCCATCTTTGAAAGTAATTAAATCCTAGTTACACAATGTACACTAATGCCAGCTGTACAGTAGGATAGATAGAAAACTGTGTTATGTTTGCTGCTTTGTGCCTGGCATTAGTTCTGGTACCAGCAAGCTTAATTATCCAGAAAGAAGCATTAGCATTAGTGTCAACACAAAATTAAATGTCACTGACAGAACAGGAACATCACCTTAATCTTACGACACTGAAGTCTCGTATATTTAAGCCTGGACGTAGAGCGCAGTTAACGGAGTGTTATGACAGCAATCTTACCTTCACGCACTGATCATTTCCTCCTGTTACGATGCGCTCCCCATCTCTAGTGATGTCGACTGCATTAAGCCCACTGGACCTAGAACCTTCTATCTCCCTTATCAGTGAAGCATCATACAATTCCCAGTACCCAATCTTACGATCACTTCCTGTGGTGACTATCTGAACACCACTGGGATGGTAACAGACACCCATGAACTGGGTGTTGGCAAACAGACTGCGCTTACGTGCCAATTTTCTGCAGAAAGTAATAAAACAAACCAATGTATAACTATGGGAAACATTAATACTGGACAGATGAGCAATAATTCACTTTCATCAAACTTTGTATTATTGAAGTGGACACTTACACTATGTCCCATATTACACATGATCCATCCAAACTGACACTGACAGCCTCTGTGTCTGAGCTGGAGATCTGGATACAGGACACAGAACTTTTGTGTTCCTGCAGGATACCCTGTAGTTTCTGGTATGTGGGTGTAATCTTCCAGACCCGCACCTGAAAATAAAAGACAGCAAGGTATATTTTTTATTAGTGTCTGTGTGTTGAGAAGAGAAGGCAGCACAGATATAGCTGTTTTATGGGGTGTTGCAGCATGTAGTCTGGTAGATACTGACTGACATATCAGAGGAGCATAATGCCTCCATCATCAGGACTGTGGGAGCTGTTGCCTCCTCTAAAACACTGGTCAACTACATGGTACAACATCCCAGAAGACAACCATCAACATACTGTTTGCTATGAGCACCTGAACTCTCACCAGAGAAGGAAGCGCTTGTGGCTCAGAATAAATGGAGAAATGTGTACATAATTTTAGACGCAATTTCTGAAGGGATAAGACCGCTCGGAAAATCTAGGTGTAGGTGGGAAGATAATATTCAGGAAAAATGGGGGATGGTCTGGACTGGGCCCGTATTGCTTGAATGAGGGGCTGGTGACAGGAACTTGTGAATACAGTAATGCACATTTTGATTCCATAAAAGGAGGTAGGGGCTGGGGGAATCTATTGACTAGCAGGACAACCATTAGCTTCTCAAGAAGGGTTCTGCTCAATGGAGTTAGTTATTAGTTAAACAATGTAAGTATGAAACTACCTGCGCAGAGTATTGAAAATGTTTGCTATTTTTCTTTCTAATAAATAAGCAATTTTTGGTTCACATATGAATTCTCCATTACTTTGCACACCTCACTGCCCTTAATGTATGTGTTCACTTACTGTAGATGCACATCCATCAGTACACTATAGATACCACCCTCTGCAGAGCAAGGGATTATTACTTTTCAGGATGACCTGCATCACTCACCTGTCCTTCACCCCCACCACTAACAACCTGCAGACCACAGGTTGTAATGGCAACAGCAGTGACCCCTTTGCTGTGTGCATTGTGAATCTCATAGATGAGGCGCCCGGTCTGTGGAGTGAATGCTCTGATCTTTCCATCATTCCAGCCTAAACACACGAAGAACTGCGTTAAGTCTAACATTCACTTTTTTTAATAATAATAATATTGCAGTGCCATCAGCCTGGTCTGTGCTGTTGGTGTTGTAACACTGTATAATTTTGATGTGGCCTTGAAGCATGCAATTTGGTGATGGTTACATTTGCCTTCCCAGACACTCCCCCTCTACAACTCATTGACCCTGCAAAGGGCATAATGGAGGTTCCAGGCATAAGACAGAAAAGATACATCATCCTTTCATGCATTACTACTTGACATTTTGTCCTTCCGCAAAATGAAAACTAAAATGGGATTGAACTTCAAGATGGACAAACAGAATACAGGGATTTAATCATATTCAAATAAAATCACTGCTATAAAGATAAAGAAGACCACTTAAAAATGAAAATCAATCATGTAACAGTGAAAGAAATGAAAACATATATAAACTTTGGAAGTAAAATTGATACAGGATAGGTAAGAAGGGAACAATAAAATAATTTGCTTTCTTTCAAACTTTGATCACATAGAATTGCTGAGACAATACAATTTACAAATGCTTATAAAGCATAATTTAAATTCATATTAACACATGGACAAATAGAAAGCTAAAGTAAGATACAACTGAATATTAAATTTATAAGGTAAAAAAATCTAGATTTAAAATTCTGGTTTAGGAGATGGTCCTTCAGCTGGTTTTCTGCCTGTTGAAAAGACAATCATCAGGAGGACCCAATAAATCTCAGCTCTACAACTAACCAAGGAACTCGAGCAATATTTTACACAACACTTACCACTAACGATAGATTTTCCATCACATGCAAACTGTATGCAGGTACACGTGAAATTGGGAACAGTAATGCGGAGGAGTTCCAATGAAGTTTCTGTGTTCCAGACTCTAATGTCATCCTTGCTGCAGGTCGCAAACACCTCTGAATATTCACTGAAAACAGAAATAAGACAACACTTAGAGACATAATTTTTTTTATAAAGATGCACAGTGACATTTGTCTCTTACACCTACAGCCTTCATCACAGGGACAAGAGGTAGCACATCCCAACATGTCATGCATAGCCACCTTAAATATGCGCAACTCATAATGCAAACTCACAGGACAAATCTCCTCTGGTTTCTATAAAACTGTAGAATTTACATAATGTAAACAAAAAGTAAAAACCTGGATTGTTGAGTCACAACCCTTCAAAATTTAAGAAGCTAATCATTTTGTAACTGCAGTTAAACAGAAGATGTTAAAAGGGTCAAAACAAGTAGGACAGACTATGAACTACTGACCACCACCACAAACTGTGAATTCTGTGCATCCAGATGCAGAGTCCCAGCTGACACCTAATCAGCCGCAGCTATCAACTTAACGACATGAATATTTCCGATTTTCATCCCACAGCCCAAACCCACGGCAAGAGGCGTTCACTGCTTGTTCGTTACTTACTGTGGGAATGCGATGTCATAGATGGAGTGCCTGTGACACGTTACATGCAGCTTCACCTCAAATGTTTCCAAATCAACAGTGAAGATTTCACTCAGCATGGTGCCAATGAAGACTGTTGTCTGCACCAGTAGCAATGATGTGGGTGCAGCATTTACATTGGTAGATTTCAGCTGCAGAACAAACAAGAAACACTCCTCACTCAGACATAAAGTTAGGGCGCATTTCTCTTTAATTGTGCACATAATTTGGTGATCAGCTGAGCAGCAGGAGTTAATTAAGAAGATTCCACTGCCTAGTAAATGGTGATACAACATTCATCTCTTATCTCACCAAACATTGGATGTCTATGTGTAAGGGCCGCACCATGAAGGCCTACAGAGGAAGTGGAGGTGAAGCTCTGTGCTTTCTTATTCATTGCAACATGTGAAGGAGAAGGTGAACGGTCACATACAAGCCAGGAGGCTGAGTGGGCCCCAAAGCTGGTCTGAACATCCTGACTCACTCCCCCACCCCCAATTTAACCCTAGTAATCAATCTGTAGTCAGTCTATTCAGTGACTGAACTATCCCAGCCTTCCTCTCACACCATATCCACTGAGTGCTGCACTCTGATTCGCCACAGAAACTGCTTTAGTATACAGGATTTTCTAAATATATATTATGGTAAGTGTTAGGACCTATACACATGATCAGGTGATGGTAAGGTCTCTGTTGTCGCTGAACAATACATAGAAAATTGACTTGAGTTTTAATTACTGACACGTGAGAGCATTCAGCTTACAGACGGCAGGCTATACTCTTCTCCATTTCAAGAATATGTGGAGCTCCATGTCTGTGTCTCACATATACCATAACCCACAAAAGCAACTCTACTGTGTGTCTAATAAATATGTGGCCAATCTCCGAGCTCAGCAGTTAGAACACTGTGCTGAATACCATCTTAACTCACAACTAGTAACTGTGGGAGAGACAGCATCTTGACCTTGCGGATCGCACTGGGTTCAGGGAAGGTAACAGTTTTCAGTTCCTTCACCAGTTCTACTGTTCCATCCCCAGCTCCAACAACAATTCTACCTTCCATGTCACTAGGCAGTAAGCATAGGGCAGTCACACCTACAACAAATACCAGTGATCAGAAACCTTACCGATCATGATGAAACACAAAATACCCAAATGTGGCTAAAAACTTAAAAAATCTACTAGACTTCATCACATATCTACATTATGGAATTTGTTTGCTGAATTACAACGTCAGAGCTTTAGCTCAGTGTTAAATGCTGACTAAATTTATAAAAGAGGTTAATAAAATTTTCTTTACCATGAGAATTCTGTAGTTCAGTGCTGTAAATACCTTATGCTAAGGCCAACACATTTCAAGCACTTGACACATTATTAACATATTATTACATAACTGTTGAACAATACTATATGAGGTACAGTAAATATATAAGCTCTGAGAAGGTGATATCTGATCAGCTGGTCAACAATTCCTCACCTTTCAAGGTACCTGAAGAATCATTACAATGTTCACTGCATCTAATTCAATCCAGTCCAGCCTACATCCTCACAGACTATTCAACATTATCATCGCATGAATTCTCTTCCCTTCCTAATACAAGCCAGAAGCCCATGCAATGAAGTTGAAAACGATTTTCGTTTCTTTAGGTATGCTGTCAGCAACTAAGATTCCTTAACTCAAAAAATAACAGGATGACTGGTAAATAGCAAATTGGAAAGAATGTAGAAGTAGCCTAACTTTAGACACTAACCTGGAACTTGCCTGGAAGGACTGAGGAAGAGTATGAAAGACCTGAGTCAGGATAGCCAGTCTCAAGGAAGAGATTTGAATTTGGGTCCTCCTGAACAAAACGTAGGAGTGCTAACCATTCACTTGAAACATCTGGTTCAGTGCAGTCCAGATGAATAAAGCCAGTCAGAGTGTTACAGCCAACTCACCCTGACTGTATCTGGCAGGTTCTTCTCCCGTCACTAGTCTCTTTTTTCCAATATACTTCCCAAAACAACCAAGAAGAATTGGAGTAGCAGCTGGATCCAGTACGTCAATATCAGCATCATAGTTCAGCTTGATTTTCACAATATCTCCTGTTGTTGTCCCACAGAAAGCAAACACATCCAATTCATCAATCTGAAAGACGAACACCTCAGACACTTAATTGCTTTCTTACTGATTAGCATAAATACAATGAATCATATACAAAAAATCTCAATTTAATGCTCTAAGCCTTAAAAATATCACCGGAGAGAAGATGATTTTGTGATCTGGTTAGTAGAAAATCTCAGTAGCCATTTATAGTTGTTTTCAGTTTTTCTCAGTATTTATTTAGATAAAGTAGCATATTAGTCAGGGCCTGCATAAGGATATTAGGTGCCATAGGCAAACCTTCATCTTAAAATTTAATCATAATGTGGATACAGATCACATAAATGCATAAACTAAAGCACATACTTCCAACTGTTTGTAACAGAAAACTCTTCAGTATGATACATTACCACCATGGATATTATATGTCTTTTAATGAGTCCAAATTTAACGTCCACTGCTTCGGCTTGTTTCGTGTCAGCAATGACTTTCCAGACTCTCAGTGTGCCTTCTCCACCAGTGACAAAACACTGGCCACGTAAGTTTGTGCAGCAGAGTAACGCTGCATTGCCTGATGTCCCACGACTGGCTGTAACACCTAGAAAGCACAAGAAATTGTCTGAGTTCCAACCAGTGTCTTCTAAATCACATACATCATTTGAATCATATTCTTTACAATAATAGAGGAATATTAAGAGAAATGAATAGAGCATTTAGAAAGAATGCCTGGAAACTGAATCCTTAAGCTGCTCTATGAATACAAGCCACAGGAAAATATGGAAGCAACAGTTGTAATCCTTGTAACCAGAACAGGCCAAAAGCTTAATTCATTATGATGTTGATGATGGTATCATTGATTGGTACTTACCACACAACACTTCTTCTTTTTCAATATTCCACACAATGATGTTACTGTCATCAAGACCACCCAAAGATATCAGACATTTACTGTCACAGGTAAAGGCAACTGACTCCACACGAACCTTGTGGATGTCATATTTAGATACAAGCTGACTAGTCTCAAAGCTCCACAGGATGACAGGTGCCTGACCAATGAGTAGCAAAGAGTGAAAATGGAGGAAAATCAGCACCACATCAACTTGAAGGTGACATCAATGTTCTTAAGTCCTGAAGATTGAGGCAACATGTTCCTCTGAAAAACTGGTATCCACCCACAAGTTCACGTGGCATTACAAGACACAAGACCAACATTGACAAATGACATGAGGTGTAAAGTGTTAAGAGAAGTCACAAACATGCAATACATTTTATTTTTCAGTACATTCTACTTCTTACACTGGCCACAGAGGTCTCATTCATAAGCAGTAAGTGTTAATACTCTCCCTTAAACAACTCTCTCATCTCTCATACATAATTCCCCCACTTCCTATGGATTTCCTCAGTTGCAGTAATTACATCAATCAGAAGCTCAGTTAAATTTCTTCTGCTTCTATTTTCCTTTGATACATGTATTATACTATTTATCTATTATATTTCTTGTTCTTTAAAATTATCATTATTATTTTTTTCCTATAATAGTCATCTACAAACTGTGTGCTGTATCCGTAATGGATAAATTATTATGCTTAGCAAATGCCAATGATGATTTTTCAGTGTATGCTGCATATTTGCTACATTCTGTTTATCATATCTCCAAATGAAGAACATAACTCCAGATTAACCAGATTTTCTAATTCACTGTCCTAATAACTGTTTGGTTTATGCTGCTTAATCAAAGTCTACTATAATTACACCACACTCACCTTAAATCCCATTTGACTGATTTGACCAGATGCAATATATTTACCATTTGGAGAAACATCAATGGCTGATATAACATTTGTATGCCCAGAAAATGTTTTTTGATGTTTTGTCTTCCAATTCTGAACCACCACTTTGCAGCCTAGGGCATAGACAAAATGGAGTCCATCTGGATGAGCGTTCAAACCTCGTATTGTGGTACCTAATGCACAACATGAACATGTATGAATTGTATTTAGCTCACACTGATGAATGGAAGATACAAGTTTAAATGTACTAGTAACAAGGAAACATAAAGTTATGTTTAAATATTATAAAAAATACTTAATTTCTATAGCACGATCACAGATATGTGCTGGTAAAAACAGCATGTACATCAAAATATTTTATTAATAAAGAATAAATCAGTAGAAAATATGTGAAAAAATACTCACTGGGCAAAGCTAGCACCAAACACGCCTAACAAACCTGCAACATCAAGCTCTGGCTTATTTGTAGTGAGATGAACTAACAGATTCATTAACATCACTAACCTATGCACAGTGGTTTGTCAGGCAGTTGCACCAACACAAACCTAACCTAAACAAAACTGAATTATAATGTTTACCGAAAAGTAACCTAAAATGTTTAGGCTCTCACTGCAGTGAACATGTTGATTTTAATCTTCTGCGCTGTGCTGCATATACACAACAGAATACAATTTTGGACCTAGTGCAAAAAGGACGTAGCAAACTTTTGAAAACAAAAACATATTTAAATTGCAAGGCCTTTCTTTAAAAACACAATATAGTGTAGCTCCATCTTAACTGTAACTAACGATTCTTAGGTCATTCAAGCCATTCTTTCTTCTACCCACATATCGATCAATTATTAATGTATACTTAAATTTCAACCAAAAATGGCGCAATCTTCAATTAATATTCTTGTATATACATACCGTCAAACCCTATTATTGAAATTAGTTCTAAATCATTAACGTCTTCGTCAACCATAATTCCTTAATATTTAAATTTTCGGCAAAAAATTAAAGATGTCTGCAATATAATAAAACAATCAGTTAGGAAATAAAGTAATTATACCGCACAGTACATATGTAAACAATTTCAAACATCTTTCGTAGCCATAGCAACGGAACAGTTGAATTCATGAACTATTTCAATTATAATTCATGAAATCTAAATAGGGAGGATTGTTTTAATCAGTGCCTAAGTAGATGATTCATAGCTATTACTACGTTATAACAGCAGAATTACACGTAGGTGTCCCCTCTTAACCATCCCATTTTCAAGGGTAAAGCGCTTTTCTTATTTTACATATATCTTTGGAAACAATCTCACACGCTTGTGTTGAGATGTTGGTTATAATGTGTACTAGAAAAGTTGTTTTGTTTTAACGTAAGCGAAAGCCAACGGATACACAAATCAATTAATTACTGTGTAAGATTTGAGGTTTTCACATCGGTGAATATGAAGATTTTGTCTTCTGGGTTGTTGCGCCGTGTAGTCTGGTCGATATTAACCAACGTTTCAGAGGTCATACTGCCTCCGTCATCAGGGCGATGAATATGTCAATGGGGGGTGTGGGGCTAGGTTTATAGGAGCCGCACCGTGATTAATTACTGATTCTCAATTGTATTATAACTTCAATACCGACGTATATTTTACTATAAGAGTGGTGGAGTGTTATTTAAAATTCTGAGTGCCAGAGGCTTACAAGTTTCCTCCGACACGAAGATTATAACCTATATCACCAGCATCCTCTTTAGTAGCTTCCGTAACGTCATTGGACTTCCAAAATGAACAAGAATGTAATAAGGCAATTGAAACTATTCATATAACGAACATGGTCAATTAATGCTCCTGTAAATAAATCTGGCTTGTTCTTAATATAAAATCCACGTTTTCCTTTTCCTTCATATAATGTTACAGATGGAGGTGCCTACACAGCACATTGACTTGGGCTAAGCAGCGAGCTGCCTTCATAGAAATGGCTGAAGAAGTGAGGAGGAAGATAATTAAATTACATGAATCAAAAAAGTAAAATTACAAGTCACATGAGACAGATATACCAAGTTGAAATTCAGTAAACATGGGAAAGCAACTATTCTGTGCTTCAAATGAAATGTATTGTACCTGCCCTTACTTAAATCATTTAAACATAACAAAACACTGTACAATTTTCTCTCTCTCTCTTGTTAAAGTCAAATGTGCTCCTGACAGATCAGATATTCTAGCTTTATAACCATGATCTAGTGTCATCAGTTTTTGTTTTATGTTATCTGAATAAATACATGTACTTACACTGGAGGGGCCCAGTTCATATTAGCAGGTCAGTTCTGAAATAGGTAAAGAAATTTTGGTACTTCTGGGTTATCGGGACACAAAACGGGAGAGTCGAATATCCAGACATTTTGCACTATATTCAAGCCACATTAGTTCTATGTACTTGTTTCCTTCAGGGGGAATATATTATTCAGCACGCTTTGACGAGAGAAACCAGCACTTCTGACAATACTCCCATACAAACACTCACCACCAAATGCAGAAATTTCTATCTAAATCCTACATAGATAATACAAAGTAAGTAAAAAACAATAATTAATTAAGTGGGTGTGTATTTGATTACAAACACAAGAGAGAAAGAGAGAAAAATACAGGTACACCTCACACATCCCTTGCTCAAATAAAATAAAGATAACAAAATAATATCAGCACTGTACAGTTTCTGCAAAAAATGCAACACTTCTGGTTCTCAAAGAAAATCCATCAGAAGGCACAGAACATGCTTATGTAAAACAAACAAATCAAACAATGGCTGCAGCATGTTATTACACAGGCCCACTCTCTTGAAAAGGTTCACACAGGAATCATGTTTCCATTGGCTCCGCACTGATAGCAGCCATCGCCACATTCTGCTTGCTCGTCCTTCGTTGTACTTTTGTTCCAGTCACACAATTTTTCTGAGCCTGCTTCTTGCCCACCCCACTCTCCACTCCGCTCTCATTGTCCGAGCTCAACGACTCTTGAAGGTTAGCCTTCCGCCGCTGGTTCCGTTTTGGAGACGGTCTACCATCGCCTGACAGCTCATTATCTGATACGGAGGAATCTCTAGTGGATTTTCGCCTTGACCTCCCAGAAGACGAAGCTGCAACACTGCCCTCTCTTAATGCTTCAGTCAACTGTTTCTGTTTGGCATCCCACCACATCTGCTGTCTCTGGACTACCTCTGGATATCTGAGAAGAAAATGCAATTTTTAAGACCAGTTATAGCTTATATAACACAGGATTCATTCACCTGCTAATACATTAGGGATCACTGTCACATTACTCATGCCTGGAGCATGTCAGAATTTTATAATTTTTTAAACTGAGCTATGGCAGGTATTACACGCCAACGCACCACAAATAATAAAATATGGTCCAGATTCACATTCTTTGAAGCTGGTATTAGAACGCTCACCAAAACATTCAAGAACACGACTGTCAAAGTAACCTACAAGGCCAATAATACCATAAAGTACCAATGTAATTTAAGAAGATAAAATAATAAATATGATAAAAGTGGTGTATATAAGTTAAAATGCGGTAGCTTCAAGCAGGTCTATATTGGCCAAACCGGTAGGGAATTTCAAACCAGATTTAAAGAGCATGTCCACAACATTAGATTCAACGTAACAAACTCAAAATACGCTCAACACATCCTCGACCACAGACACAAATGCAGCCCCATAGAAGATATCATGGCCATATTAAAAATAGCCTCAAAAGGCAAAATGCTTGACATTTTAGAAAAATTCCACATCTATAAAACTAGCAAAAAGCAAAACATCATAAATGAGCAGAACACCCACAACTCCAATGCGTTATTTGACCTGGCAATAAACAGTAACGATGTAAAATTTCGTTTGCAATAGATGGCCACACTGCTTGGCCAAAATGATTAAAAACCCTGCACACTTTCCAGAAACTGACAGTAATACCCACGCAACGTTGAAGTTTGCAGGCACAGGGAATGCAACCGCAGCTCAACCAACAACGGAAATCAAGCCAGTGGACATAAAGCCAAGTACTCAATTTAGATAATACAGCAACTCTTGTGCAATTAATGTCCAGTGTGGTATTACATAAAGTATGGTTTATAACAAACCATCGTGTTATGAATTGTATGATTTAATATGAATGAATGATGATGACCTCTTCAGGTTGAAACACATTAAAAAAATGGCAATAAGTGTCTTTTCAGTTTTGTTTGAATGCATGATTTTATATAACAACAACACATGCACGCGAGGGACGATACTGAGGAGTCGCTCGGAGACGGTGACCGTAGGCTGGATTATTATAATAGTAAATCTGTACTAGCAACAGAAATACAGTGTGACTGATTCTGTGGGGAAAGAAAACCTGTTACAAACCCAAGTATTGGACACAGGGAGAAGAAACAGGTAACGTTTCAGTAATGATGGTGATTGTGAATGTGTACTACCTTATTCCACTCAGTAAACTCACCGACTGATAAATGCCTTATCAACTGGCAACCGCAGTTCCCACCTCTTGTTGCCCTGTACCTTTGAGATCTGTTCCAGGATCTCCTTTATCTCTTCTGATGGCAACCTGATCACGCTCGACACTCTCAGCCGATCCACATGCCGATTCTGAGTGAACAGGTACAACTGAAATAAAAATAATACACAATTACATTAAAACAATCTCACTCATGTTTGACGGCATACTTACAGAAACATATATTTGTACAGTACTACATGCAAAATTTGACATATCAAGACCATCCCTGACAGCCATGTGCACCAACTGCTTTTAATGGCAAGATGGCCAACAGTGGTTGATATTCGGAACAGACACCTGCCAACTAAAATCCAAATAAATGGTGGTGACAGTTTGACATTTCAGCATTCCACTCTGTTCACAAATCGTCTGCTTGCATAATTCTGCAAACAAGTTTTTCTGTGTTGCGTCTTTCCATTACACTTTTGAGATCAAAGAAACAAACACCCCAACCAACATTAGTTGATTAATCACATTTTTGACAGGATATGCAGGTAAGTGGGTGGAAATCTGGGGTACTCCACACTGTTAGTACAGAAACTGCTTTAAACTTACAACGTAATCTCTGCCCTGACACATGAGCTCTGCAGGAACGCCACTAATGCTACTAGCTGTATCCTTTGGATAAAGGATATCACTCCGTACAATCCAGTTACCCTGAACCAATACTGCCACCTGTTGCACCACACGTAGAAGACTGGCAGTATCTGTATTCATATCCAGCAGTGTTGCCAACTGTGAGAACTGCAGTAACTTGGCTACAGCAAGAAATAAACACATAATACGTAATTTAGTAGATACTCAACTAGAAAAGAGATATATTACCTCCAGGTGTGTCTGTCATTCGAACTCTTCACCCAAAGTGAACATAATGGGAAAGGCATATTTGGCTGCATGTTTCATCTCTGACATTAATGAATAGATTTAGATATAACATGGTGTATACCAACAGCTACAAATCTCATTTTTGTTCAAATCATTTTAAATGAACTAATACCAAAGCCATGACTGGACACGGTCACAAGCCGGTTCTACTCACCTCCGACCCTCACAACCCAATTCCCTGAGGCATTAAAAACTCTACCTTATTTCTGCATTCTCAGTGTTCAAGCAACTTCTCCTCATGACGAGCGCATCACAACCTCCCACACTACACCACGTCACTGAATCACTGTGATATCTTACTACAGTCACTAACGTCAACCAACTTAGGCCCCGATACTTCCCACAGTACTTAGTGAGCTCCATCAGAAATGCAACATTCTGCCCATCTTTCTCTCAGTTCAAGCATACCATCTCTAAGCAGACATCTAACTTGGTCCACAAGAGAGAGCAGTTTAAGGCTGCTGCGTGAGATAACGTTTGCTGACTGTGAGGATACCACAGAATCTGATGACGTCTCCTCCGCAGGAACCAGATATTTCAAGTACTCATTCACTCCCAAACTCAGCTCATTTACTCGTTCATCAGCCTTGGCACAGAATAACTTCTGCCTTTCCAGCTGAAATGTAAAAAGAAACCCATGGTCTAATCTTACTAAGTCTTACCACAACTACTACAGTTCTGAAGGGAATTTCCATATAAGATTTATGAACTGGCATTACACATAGGAAGAAGTTTCCTTCAAATGCTTTGAACTCTGCTAGCAGGAACTACAAATTGATAATTCTACAATTCACCGTTTAAGTTCCACTAGTACACATTCAAACAACATCAAATCTGTCAGATATAAACTCAAAGCTTCATTCTGTCAACCCCTTTTTCAAATCCAGACATAAAAATGTTCTATGCAGAATCTGTAGGGATCTTTATAACCTCCATACAAAACATCATCACATGCCTTGATACCAACGGTAAATAAGTTATCAGCACCAAATATACATCACGGGTGACTGCCACACTGTTGTACATGAAGTAAAATCTTCACAAAAGGTCATATTTCTCATAAACAAATTACCACACAAATCATCAGGAACCTACATTAAAATTTGCTATTGTTACTGCTACTATGGATATTCAAACTCCTGCCACGTTGGTATTACTGATGTTAGGTAATTATTAGACACAGGTGGGCTGGCATGACATTCATACAAAGTCTCCTGGATGCTCAATTCGTTACATAGTTATCAGGCAAACCAGACACGACATCTGTTGGTGTGGACAGCATATACTGCGCACCTCGGCTTTTCCTGAGCGAGAGTTGTGGAATTCTGTGTGGAACCACGGCTCCTCTGCACTCTTCTTGCTCAAATAGCCAAATGAACGCTCTCTTGCTCGCTTCTTCCTTTCAGA